TTGAAGACTACGTAGAATATGAAAGACATTGTCCGTAAGTCAACCGAGTATTGTGACCGGATTTCATTCTCTTGCCAACTTCAAGAACTGGGTCGATTCGTACCCAATGTTGTGAAGAACTATGGCATAGATCGCCGTGTAGACATGAGTATATCTCTTTCTCCAACCGTTTCTTCACACGTTCCGTTGGCTGGATGATCTAATTACCGTAGATGATAAGTGGATAAGTTACTCTATCAACGTATGGAAGGGCTAGTTGATTGGCAAAGAAGAGCTAGCTTTGGACGTACCGAAACCTAAATTTCACGGAAAAAGGGGATGCTATGTGTTTGGTGGTGTGTCAAAGGAGCGAAGACCGGAAACTCTTAGACGAATTCAGTAATATAACTGCCACAATGTATAATTTATAATTAAAGAAATTGAATTTGGCAGTCAAATCGAAACAAGGAGAAAAAGCCAAGGGTTCTTCCAGCGCGACTATGCGAGATCTCCCGTGACTAGAGGGATCAGCCAAAAATTCATGTCGCCCGGCTGAAATATTCTTTTGCACTCGCCGTATTCTCCAGATCTTGTTCTCTTAGAAAAATGGTTGTTTGAGGCTCTTGAACGTCATCTTGATAGAAAAGACTTTAAGTGAAAACATGACATCAAAACGGAGTTGACCCACTTTTTCGATAGCAGCCGTCCTCGTTCGGGACTGATGGAATCAAGAAATTACTGGAGCATTAACAGACAATTACCGGTGCTTGTGGAAGTTATTTTCATTGATCTAGCAAAAACTGCTTTTAGAAAAATTTGACCAAAAATTTTACCAAAATCGGAAGAAACTTTTGCATCAACCTAATACTTTGGGCATTCATTCTCAATTATATGTTCCTTATAATTTTTTTTCAGACGTAAATAAAGTAGTATATATTTTCATTTATTGTCTCTTCATGCAATACTTTGTTTTATCTGATAAATAAATGGAGCGGTGTCTCTTTTCTTTTTTGCCAGGACGAGCTGAAAGGAGTTCGAACTTTTGTTCCAACACAAATATTTTCGAACATTAGTCATTTCAGGTCAAATATAATCGATCTCATTGTAACTTGGTTCATTTTGATGACAGCATCCCGGATTCAACTTTTCAACCATTGTTTCACAAAATGTCAATATAGGTAAAGACAGCCCACCTGGTTTTAACTCCGCCCCCTTGAGGTTCCCTATAAATACCGCTGGTTACCTGGCATTAGTATTCATTTCCTTTCTCATGTAATCCTTCATCTCTTTCCTATATTCTTTCTTGACGACCTTCTGCTTGGACGTCTGAGAAATAATTCTCCTTATTTTCCTGAATGTTTCACCCAAGTTTTGGGATATCTCGAC